TGGAACTAGATGATCTTTAAGGTCCCTTCCAACCCATACCATGCTATGATTCTATATTATGCTTTCAGCTGAACTATGTATAAATGTCTTCTTTGGTGTGACAAATCAAACTGAGTTATTTTAAGTGCCACTTTTGTGCTGGGAATCCTTGTTACTATCATTAAGAGCTGCCCTTCCTGATTGTTATGATTTCATATTTTGTCCTGCAATTTCATTTTCTAAAAGTTTTTTTGTTTCCTGTTTCCTTAAATGATTGCTTCAAACCCAATTTAAATTAGAGAAGTAGTTTAACAAAATCTCAACTAGCCAGTGTCTTTCTAGCAAAACAGTAACCAACCTTACTGTTAGTAAAACAGGAGCACCCTCAGCTGTTCTTAATTTCCCATAGGAAATAACCAATGACAGGGTTGGATTTGGATATTTACCCTGTACTCCCATGCCAGCATTCCCCAAACTGTATCTGGAGTTGGCTGCTTTATTCCAGGGATGCCGAGGGGTTTGTTTCTTTTCATCCAGCTTCTGCTACCCAAACAGCATCAGGGTTGGTTGTGATCTGGACCCTTTCCTTGGGGACAGAACTTGTGAATGAGGTCACTCCATAGGCATTAGTTAGTCAAATGTCTGAGCACTGTAAACTACAGCTAGAATTAATTTGAGTTTTAAAAGATTTTTATAGGAAAGGCTGCTAGGAGTCTTTTTGGCCAGCTAATGTCCACTTTTATACTTATCCTTTGAACTATCCACTGCTGACCAAAACAACAAAACTTACAAAAAAGTGAAAAATTCTCTAAAAAAAAAAAAAAAAAAAAAAAAAGTGCTGGCAGGATGTCAGATTTCACAGAGTTTGCAATGTGGAGCTAGTTTCATTGTTCCCTTGATGTTTTAAAATAATGTTTAGATCTTGCCCTACATACCCTTGTAAGAATGCGGTGTGATTGGTGGACAGTTTATATATAACATGGGAGTTATGCTTGGGGAATAAATGGCATTTGGGTTGTTGGAAAACTTTGCTGAAGAAAGGTGGTGTCTGCCTGTGCGTTAAGCAGCAGGAGCTTTAGGTGTGTATGATCACAAGATCTTCTGTGATTAAAATCAGCAATATTTTGGCTTGCAGGCTGGTATGCTAAAGCACATCCATATAGGCATAATGCCTTTTTACAACTGGCTTCTTTCTGTAACCCAGAGATTCACAATACCTATGTCCTTAAGACTTTAATACCGTATCTTTAACTATGTCTCAAATGTTTGTCATTATTTGAAGTTAGATGTCTGTTTTAGATGCTTGAAGCTCCTACATGATGTTCATGTAGTAGACAGTAACTTTAATTCAAACTGAAAGATTTTTTTTTTAACTTCGTAAATTGTTTCAGGATACCTTTCTAGAAAATTTTTGTCTTGGTCGGATTTAAAACAAATAATTATAAAAATCATTGCCAATTTTCAATATCTTCCAGCAAATTTTAGTAAATACTGTTTTTTCACTGAGCAGATTGGTTGTTAAGGAAAAGACTGTGTTGCGTCTTCCAAGAGTTCCTGATTTAAATTTAAAATAAATTGATCTATATCTGAGTGGAAAAAAAAAAAAAAAAAAAAAAGACTTGATACATAGGAAACTACTTGAATTAAATGCTCATTTTGACATTTTGCCAGTCATGGGAATTTGCACATGCTCTGGGCTGAATTAAGATATTAAAACAAAAATACTACAGTAAAATGAAACAGGAGGAAAGTTTAGGCTTGACTTTCTAAGTTATCATACGCATAATAGCAAACATGTGGTTTCTCTGTTCTTCACTTTCCTTGTATAAGTTAATAGTATGTCTGAAAGCAAAGGCATTTTGATACAGCCCTGGATTACTTGGCGTTGCAGAATTCTCCTTTTTCCATTAGTCTCAAATTATCCTCTCTCCCTTGTAACGCAGCACTTCTGGGTGATATCCATAGGGGAGGAAAATTAGAGCTGAATGGATGGATTCTATTTCATTTGTTACCGATTTCATGACAGATAATACCTTGCTAGAAAACTACAGGGTCACACGGAATTACTTCTTGCTCGCTTCTAAGTAATTTAATTGACGTCACTTTGAGGGCAAAGGCTTGTTATATAAGATGGGTTTTTTATGTTACTCTTTTAAAGAATACCTTTTGACTTAGTGTACACTACAGATTTGACTGAACTGAGAAATTACAAACTTTTTAACATTTATATGCTCGAAATTTTTTCTGTAGCTTCTCATTACTGATTTTAGTTTTTTCTAAGCAAAACAACTATGATGTTTTCTGGTTTTGTTTTTCTCCTCTTTAGAGAGTACCTAAAGGTATGTCAGTAACGTGTATATCAGAAAGATTACAAGTCATGCCTAGCTTTGAAGACCCCTTAATAGAATAGTGGCATATTGACACCTTGTGAGCCAAAGGAACTACAGTTGAATTTGGGCTTGGAGGGAAAGGATTGGATTTGTGTTAATAAAACACTTCATGGAAAGTAATCCACATTAGTGTTTTGGATACAAAGGACTTTGAGGAGTGTTGAGCATCTCTGACCTTACAGTCAAGGTGATAAAGTTCACTAGAGGCATCACTGAGATCTCTATCAGTCCCCTGGGAAAGTTAATACCTGACATTTCTAAATCACTGCATTATTTATTTATTTATTATTACTTTCAGTCATTCCTCATCTTTAATATGGGAGTGGAAGAGGTACAAGTCCTCTGTCACGGCCCTTCATTTTTCCAGTGCAGTTTTTTACGGATTTTTAATACCTTTTGTAATTATTTTTTTCTTGACTACAAATGAGAAGTAGCAGGGTCTTCTCAAGTTTGTTTGGAATTGTTGGTTCTTTGTAACTGACAAGGAGCTGGAGTGACAATTACTCTGGGGTTTTTTGTTTGTGTTGTTTTTTTTCTTTTTTTTTAAATGTTTCCATAAGAATATCGCAGGAATATAATCAGCTGTTAATGTTCAGTGTAATTATACAGTCATTAAGAAAAAGATCTATGTGGAATCTGTTGCCAACTCCATGTATTTTGCATTGTTCTTTTTGAGCAGAAAATGAAAATGATGTTTGTTGAAGCTGCTATTATATTTATTCTGATACTTTTCTCTATTTGTCCCCAAAAGAATGTCCTTCCTTACAGGGCACCTTGGCACCAGAAGTTTTGTTACTCACCACATGGTGCGTTATCCTGTGCCACACCATTAACTTCTGCGAGCTGACACAGCTGCGTTTTTGGTGTTTTCATGTTAGCCTCTGTTTCATTTTCAGGAGAACTGTCTTACAGATGATATCGGCATATCTACGTGGAAGGAGCAGGTTTTCCTGTCCCACAGTGCCTTGCTGGCAAAGAGCTGCCAGGCTGCAATGGAGCTAGCAAAGCACAGCGCTGAGATTCAGGACATGGCATTTCAGTATGGAAAGCACATGTCTATGAGTCATAAGGTACGCCTTTTCCTTTCGTTCTGGGATCTTAAATACAGCAAGATTTGTAAGAGGTGTTGCTCTTGAGCTCTGTCATACTCTGCCACTATGCTGTAGACTTTTGCCAGTAGATAGGTGACGCTGAGAGAATTGACTGCTGCCTGGTATGAAGATGTTTGCAGAAACTGCTGGTGTGAACAGTGCTTATGAACTGGCAAAAATCACACTCCTGGCAATGTAGCTTCTTTCCTTCAAGGCTCTGTTAACATCCCTCTAGGACATCTTTCTGTAGTAGCTTAAAACTTTACCTTCTCTGCTTCTGCATTCTTCCTAAAGCCACTATCCCAGTAGCAGGAGTTGCAGGAGGAAGCGTGTGTTGGGTCTCAGCTGCCACCATGCAGATATTTGTACCAAGCAGCTCAACCGCCTGCAGCAGCACATGAGCTGAGGCATGAACTGCAGTGGCTGAAGGACCTACTTATGTTCCCTTCTGAATAATCTGCTGTGGAGGTAACTTCCAGAGGGGATAGGTGGGGGCTAAGAAGGCAGTCACCAGATATGGACAGGAGCAGCCTACAGCTCTGCAGCAGTAGGATTTCCCAGAGAGGGCCTCTGACCTCAATTACAAGTCTTTTAGTCCACAGCTAGAGTTAGTCCAAAGGAAAACTTACACAGTTTGGAACTTGGATCCTTGGCACTCTTGTTTTGCCCTAAAGATCTGTTCCAACTGTATTGCACTACTTGCAAGTACAGATGTAGCTTGAGACAGGCAGTCAGACCTCCCATCCGCTTCAGCTAAGTTGGTTTAGACAGTTTCTAGTTCCTCCAGAAGGAAGTGGTTTTATAAAGCACAGCTTTACTGCCATAGAAATGCCACTAGATGCTGTTACTAGACACAACTCTACCAGTAAATTGCTTCTAGTGCAGACTATAACCTTAATATTTTTGTGTGTGCTTTAATGTTAATACATTCACCATTGACATATAGTTGTGTATAAAGGATTGCATAATTTTCATAGAAAGCTCCTAGCCATGTAACATTTCCTTTGTGAGTATGAGGGTCATACTGTATCAGCTTCCTCAGGTACTGAAAAGTAGAATGTTTTACCCTTCACAGATTAAAAACTTATATTCTTCCCACCAAAGCCTGGATCATTCTCTCCTTTTTATTTTTTCTGCTTCCTGCTACTCAACAATCACCTACTTGGCTGTGTCCATTCCTTGCCCAGCTCTGCAAGCTGTCCATTACCCATTTCTTTGCAGATTCTCTACATGCTTCTCTTTACCACAACTCTCTACTCACTGCAATGCTTTCAACCTCTTCCTGTCCCTCCCCCAAACTTGTAAAAGTGCAACCAAAGTACAAGTGTCAAAGCAGAAAGTGGTGACTTAGGTATAGAATTAGGATGTGAGTGAATATGTGAGTGAATATGTATAGACTGTTCTAGGGAACTGAAGATGTTCTTCTCTTTCAGCTACATTCGGACCTTCAGCCATTTGTTAAAGAGGGTTCTAGCGACACCATGGCCTTCAGTTTGAATTCTGCTCCTGCAGTCCTCCATCAGGAATTCCTTGGAAGGGAGGCATGGATTAAACAGATCAGAGAGGTAAATTAAAGCATTGTTTAGAATTTCCTGGTTTTGCCATTTGTATTGCTCTTCCTATCTCTACTTTCAATCTGCAGAGAAACTTAGTAACTAACGACGGACAAGACAACATAGAGGTAACCTCTGCTCTCCAATGCTTAACGCCTCTTTCTTCCACACTTAAAAGAGGGGGAAATCTAGGGACCTGACAGTCGAACTCTGTCAAACTTCTGTGTGTCAGTGTAACAAGCGGATTAATTTGTGTGGAGCATATGTCTGTTCCTCTGCACTACTTGTGCAGTTCCACATTTTAGCTTAAAGCTGCTTTCACTGGCAGCTTAAAGCAGAGAACTTTGCATGACAGTGGTTGAAAGATAGGCACACAGTTCCTTCTGCCAGCTTGTCTCTGGGAGGAGTAATTTTGGATGGGGGGGATCTGAGGGACTTGGCTTCCTGACCACAATGTAATAGCTGGCTGATATCCTTATTCTTCATTCTCTTAATTCAGCTGTTTTTTTTACTCTAATCCTTAGATGGGGAAGGCAATAAGAGTAAGATAGCTGCATGTGTAGACCTTTTCTATGTGCCACGTAGCACAGCAGGATTCAGGTCCATGAATAGTTTCCTGGGTTTTGCTGAAAGACAAATAGAAAACTGTAGAAGACAGCAAGGAGGGAAAGGGGGGGGGAAACACCAGCATTGCCAAAACTAAGCATTGAGTTCCTGCATCAGTTGCACGTGTTTTGTCTGTCTGAACAGCAGTGATGACTACCATTTGGAAATTCCTGCAGTCATTACATGGATTTTTCAGTAGAAAGGCTGCTGCCTTCAAGAAACTAGCTCTGTGCAAGCATATTCATTCAGGGTGTGCTTGCTGATGGCTCCTTTCCTTGCTGCTTTGAAAGCAGGACTCTTGTGTAGAGGGTGTGGAGCCTGAGCCTCTGCCTGGTTCTGTGTCCATGACAGGTTTCAGCCTGCCTTCACATACAACAAGCAAGAGGAATAGTCTCTTCAGCACTGAAATTTTAAAAGTATATGCAGAATCTACAGCCTTACAGTGGTATGGAGTTAGGGATTCTTAAAGTAAAGCAAACCTTTTGTCATTTTGAAATTAGGGCAGAAACCTTAGTTTATAATGTGTGATGAGGAATTTTGGAATCCTACAATGTCAACACAAGGCTCATATTCGAGTTGAATGTAAATGGATTTGTATGATTGCAGTTGGAGAATAATGGTATTACCACAGCACAGTGTATAAAGGCTTTGAAACAATTTCCCATCTGCAGAATCTAGAAGAGGTTGCAGGACTCCAGGAGTGTGTCTGCCTGCTTAGTAATTCTCATACCGAGAATGGGCACTGTAGTAACAATGAAGCAGTTCTTTCTGAAGGGAGAGGGGGAAAAAGAAAAGTAACATGCACTATGCAGAAGTATCTACTAACCACTACTTTAGCTCAATACAAAGTGGAACACCTCATCCAGGAGCCTTTCTTGGCTTGTGTTGATTTAGAAGGGAAAATTACTTTTCGCTAACTCCAAGTTCTTTGGGATCTCATCCATAGTCACATTCCCTGTGTGACATTCAGTGTAGGCCAAACACTCAAACCAGAGACTTTCTCAGTTTGGCAGTACTCGTAGGAGTACTCTCGTCAGCCACCCTCTTGTGCAGTGTCATTTGTACGGTTTAAAGAGGCAAAGCACTCACAGTGCACTCAGTCCCTGTCAGGTAGAATTTTTCTTAGTAGCTGAGTTTATGACTAGGCATATGGAAATCACATTATGGACCTTTAATTACTGCTAAGCAATCTGGCTTTCTCCTTTGATTGTTTGCCCACATAAGCATTCATACGATGGATTAAAGGCAGCACCTTCTCTTGGCAGCATCTTCCTCCTGCAGGAAGGTCTTGGAGTTAGGAAAGTGGAGGTAGAGAGCCCCCTTGCACCTAGTTGTCTCCACCGTGGTACACTGCTCAGAAAGCATGTGACTAGGACTCAGTGCCTGTCATGCATATTCTAGATGAAAGCAGTCTTCAGAGAGGTCATGAAGGAAGCCTGAACTGCTGCGGAGTGCCTAGAATTTGTGGAATTGTTTTGCCACAGTTTTCTTGTCCGGGGTCCGGATACAGTCGCTGTTCTCAAGGCAACCTGTGAGTGGAGGCAGCCATATGCACCTTTCTGCTGCTGAGCTGAAGACTTTTTAAAAGCCCCCTTGTCCTTTCATTTGAAAGGAGCAAAATGCATCAGAGATCCAGGTGTGGAAGGCTGCATCAATGCTGAGTGTATGTGTTTTGAGAAGGTTAGATTCTGATTTGTTTGAAATGTACAGACTGCCTTAAAAGGGACTTGGGATGTGTATAGAGGGAAGCCTTCTCGTAGGAGGAAAAAAATGTGTAGGTATGTGTATATGTGTAATACATGGTTTTATATTTATATATATATATATATATATGCCTGAATGAATGATCATCCATAAAGAACTGAGTCTGTCCTGTTCTCACTGACCTCACCACCTAAACTCTTCACCTTTGTGCATTTAAAACTATGCACAATTGACTGTTTGGTCAGTGTCTATTTTAAAAGGAATATGGGTTGGAGTAGAGTCCTGAAATGCTTAAAAAAAAACCAAAAAAACCCCCCAAAAAACCCCACAACAAAACAAACAAACAACCCCCCCCAAAAAAAAACCCCAAAACCGACCAACCCTAAATATTTCTTGGGAAACACTGTGGTAGATGGACAAAGAAGGGCTTGAATGCTCTTCAGAGAAAGTGTTGAAATAGTTGCTGAATGCAGTCCCATTGAACTTTTGGAAAGCCCTGTAGTCTTAAAAATTAACAGATAATCCAGGATTATAGGATGGAGGATTTTGTAGGGGTCAAAATGCAGAAGAGTTGGTCACTTTTAGCCACTTAGAGATACCTCTCACTGGACAAGAGCAGAAATTCTCTGAGTTAAACAGGCATCTGACATCTAAGCGGTGAGGTACAAAAGATCAAAGTTTGAGTGAAGAAGCTAAGCAGAATCACTCAAGAACAGGTCTAGAATCCATTTTAGCTCATAGCATTTGTAATTTGAAAGATAAATTGGTCAGAAACTAGAACCATCTCATCTAGGCCAAGGTAATCCACGTGCCTTTCACCATATATTTCTGAGCCTTCTTAGGAAAAAGCAGGGCTGGGAGAAAAGCATTTATCAAATGCTTTATCAAGCATTTCTCAAGCATAGGTTTTAGGAAGATGTATAAGAGGGACAGTCTCATCTGAGAAAGCAAAGTCAGTCTTGGAAAACATCCTCCAAAAGTGTTGTCTTAAACCATCTGCTTGTAGTCTGTTTATCTGATGCATTTTGAGTCATTTCACAGGGGACTCAGGGATCCTTCCTTCTGGCAAGGTGAGTTGATTTCACACCACCTCATTTACTAAGGAAGAATGTCACGGTATTATCGTCCCTCACTACTGGCACACAGTGATCTTTGGCGTTTAGGAGGAAGGCTAAGCTGAGTTAGCCGTTCATATTTCTAATATGCTGGTAAGCAGATGCTTTTCTTTGAGCAAGAAAAGCTCAGAGCCCAGACACTGAGAGGCTGAGCTCCCCAGCCAAGCAGCGAGACCTAGGAAGTTATTCAGGTTTGACAAGAGTGCATACCTTTTGCAAATCAGGCTTAATAGCTCTGAGGAAGCTAAACCAGATGCAGAAGTCTGATGTAAAAGGGAAAAAAAGAAAAATATGTGGGTCTGAAATCGGGGTCAGTAAAAGTCAAAGAGCCAAACTACTATGAGGATAAAAAGAGATTTAAAAAACAACAATAAAGTTGTAGTAAAGAAGTCTCAGGAAACAGATGAGATAAGGTTGCTGCTTGGAGGAACACAGCTGCCATTGACTTGAATGCTTGAGAAGAACAGAGCTTGAGAAAATATTCTTGCTGTTTGTAATGTGTATTATATGCAGGAGGAGGCCTGCTGAGCACACCTCTTCAGGTATTGCTAAGACTAAAAAGCATCTTCCTCAAACATGTTGGCAAATTCTCCACTGCAGTGTGAATCTGTATATAAGCCATCATTTGTTAAAGAACGTATTTCAGATATACAGTATAACTACTAGATTTATCTTGAAGAAGCCCTAAGATCCAACCGGTATGAATAAAAGTTGGCAAATCAAAGAGCTGGGAGTACACAAATAAGGAAGCAGTTATTGGCAGTGGCTTTGCTACTCCCAAATGCTATCAGGCTGTTTTCTTAATATGCATTCCAGAAAAGCTGACTCTTAAGAAGCTTAAGGAGAGTAGTAAAGAGGTTTTGTAGATCAGTCTCCTTTCTCCTTCAGTGAAATCTGTTTCTTTCCTGTTCTGCTTGCTTAATCTCTCATCGGTTCTTTTCTCTATTTTTTTCCCCTCCCTTGCAAAAATTACTTTATTTTCCAAATTTGTGCCATCTCAGCAACATCTCCTCAAAGACCTGCTTGCCACATAGCGTTCCTCTTCAGTGCAGGCCTCAGTTCTTCTCTTTATGCCAGCTGACCTGCTCCTCTTGACTGCTCTCCAAAGTCCTCGCAGAGGATCCAGAGAGATAGTGGTCCAAATCTGCATCCTTTCAGGAGACAAGCTCCAGAAGAACTGAGGTTTCTGATCTTTCCTTGTGGAGGCTAGAGGGAAAGAAACTGGTTATTTTTTTCTCGATGTGCCTGAAAAGAAAAGAGCTGGTTTTGGATAAGATGATAATGATACAGCTAGATTTGGCCTGTGGAAAGGGTTTCATGTTGGTTAAGCATTTTTTTTCTCTGGATCTGGCAGAGCATTGCCACTGGGTAAGAAAGACACAGACATCTTCTCTTCTACATCACCCTGTGACAAAACTCAGGAATTTGGTCTATGTACTTTCTGTATCTGGGCAAGAAGAAATTTAAAATGTGTTCATACTTATTTCTGAATGTGCTAGGAGTCATAGGTTATACGTATCTGCTGCTTAAGTAAAGAATGATGCTGGATGCTTAAATACAATTCTAAACCAAAAGCACGGTTAGTGTATCTAATCTAGGTCTAGTAGCCCTGACATGGTCCTGACATCCTCTTTTGAGAGCTCTAGACTACTAATTGTGTGCAAATCACTATAGATGCAGGGAGACTTCTAAGAAATTAAATCCTATTATTGTTGATACGAAGTATAGTTTATTTCAAAATCTCATGGGAGAGATTAATTAATGCAAACAGCAAGATTTCTTAAGACCAAAACATTTTGGATTCAACAAATGTTTAACTACAAGTCATAATTAAAAAGCCCCCTAAAAATTACATTGAGTATCTGCAGCTCTCATATGAAACAGAACCATGTTGTATAGGCTGGTAACACATTAGGTTGTATTTTAAGTTTTTCCATATCAGATTCCTGAAGAAAGTTGGTTATGTTTAAAGTAGTAGCTCTTCTAATTGCATTCTTTATTCTTGCAACTCTAGTTTGTAGTATGTAATGTCTTAAGATAAAATCTCTTTTTTTCTTTAAGGCACAAGGAAAAGGAAATATAATGGACTACAAGAAGGTTGGTAAATTACATTTAAATCTGCTTATTGTTTTTAATGTTTCTTGTAATGTTTTCAAGTATATTCTTGACAGTTGAGAGAAGTTTCTTTATTAAAGGCAAGTTATAATTTGTGCATGTGAAGAATGGCTTGTGAAATTTCTTGATTTTAAAAAGCCAGATACTTACTTGTACTGTAAATATCAAATACAGCTATTTAATAATCATTTTTGCCATTATTTACCCCATTTATTTCCCTAAACTTGGTTCTGAAACCAGGCTTTTGATGGCTTTTGCTGTTGTCTTTTTCAGCAGTCATTTACAGGTTAGCTTCTGTTGGTGATCTCTCTCTATTGATAGAGTATGCTATCACATTTTTTATCTCACCTTAATGCTGTGCTATCTATTAAAAAATACACACACTCATGTTATTATAATAATTTATGTTTCTTCCAATCCCCATTACAACTTTTAGCTGAGTCTCCACTGTATTTGCTACTGGGACTGCTCTAAATGCAGACCTGAACTAACTAGCTTATCTACTGAAAGTATCTGGGATGCCATAAAGCTCTTAAGAGAGCTGTAGGAGATGACTGAGAATCAGATTCCCCTGGTTAAATACTGGAGCACAGCGCTTGTGGAGAAACACGATGAGATTGTGTCCCCAACGCACTCACTGGGCACGGGCCTGACTTGCTCCAAGTCTTAACTAGATCATCAGAGGCCAGTTAGTTATTCCCAGCATCAATGGGAAATAATGTATAAATTATTGAGCCACGTGCATGACTGAGAATTGCTGGGACCTGAAGAGTGTTGCAGCTATGACTGCTGCTAGTACAGAAAGCTAACACACAGGTACAAGTCAAACTTTTTAATTATAACTATGCTGTATTAAGAAAATCTGTAATTTGGATTATTGAAAAAGCTTTCTATCCTTCCTTCCTATTAGAACATAAAAAAAGATCTCAATCTTAGCTTGCTATTTAAAATAAATGTGCTTTTGTTTTTTTCTACAATAGAAGAAACAGATACAGCTGTGACAACTGTGACTTTCTAAATCACCACTGAGAGCACTAAATTTCTCCTTCAACTATGTCTGAGTATATGAGACTTCTGCAAATGTTTAAGCTAGGCTACTTGTTTTTTTAAGTCCAGAATGGATTTTTTCCTTTTAATTATTACAATTGTGACCTGCCCAGTGTTATTTCCGTAGTTTTTTTTAAAAAAAGGAAGGGAAGAAATGCATCTAAAATTACTTTACTGAATTAAGTATTTGTCAGTGTATTCTGTATTTTGACTGAAATTATTTCATATTTTGGATCCTCCCCATGAAATTTAAAAACTTACAGTGTGCTTAGGCAACTTGGACACTTGAATAAAAGGAAGGGAAGCGGGAAAAGCCCTTCTTCACGTTTGGTATTTGGAGCAATTGACTTCAGCCCAGAAGCACTGATTTTACTAGCTCTGGGTGATCATCTCTTGCATAAGCACAGATATTATGAGTTTAGTAATACAGTGACAAATTCTCTGTGGTTTTTGTGAGCTCAAATAATAATCAGCTTTGGGTTTTGTAGAAGTCAGTTTCAAGACTATGATGTCATGTCCCAGCCTTCTATGTTTCTTTGTTTAAAATAAAAGTAGCCATTAGTTACATCCATGCTAAGTGAACCCAGTAACCTGTAGCTCACCCCAGCATAGTAGCTTGGCCTGTACCTGCACACAGCCAATTAGGAGGCATGTTGTGCAGTACAAATTAGTATTTCTTTTTTGCCCTTTGCTGTGTTGTCTTTATTTCTACATCACTGGAGTCAGTCTTTTGCACATTGCTCAGTCTTTTCCTTTCACCGTCAAGGTCCCCTCTCATCTTTCTACTCAGTTGCTAGAATTACTTTAACATTCCTCATCAAATCTGGGGGCTCGTTTCTCATTGAGTCTCAAAAATATCTTCTCTTTAATTTTATAAAAGGAAAAGTCACCAAAACTAGCTGTAGAACCTCTGAAAACTTGTAATTTTTTTGTTCTCTTTAATTTTTATTAAGAACTTCAGCGTGCCTCTTAGTTGAGATAAAAATATTGTTCCTTTAGTTGAATTCATAAATATATGTATATAAAAATTGTTAGCTGTTTTACCTGCTTAAGAATATTTTACCTTAGTCACTGTGGCTTTCAATTAAAATAATGAATGAAGGTAAATTTGAGATCCACCCATTAAACATGCTTCCTTAAAAGGCAGAGGTCTTATTTTATTTCAATTTTGAGACTGCTCAAGAATTTTACGTTGTTGTTTTGATGCATGTTATATTAACATGGTCACCCTAATTTTTTGTCACTGACAAAAAAAAAAAATCTAGATGCTACTAGTAAATTTAGTGAGGTCTCTGACATAAATACAGAAGTAAAATACTTTCTATTACTTTAATTAGGTCTCAGACTGTCATGTCAATAAGGTCACTATGTTCTGCAAAATTTTTTAGTATTGTTTTTTTTCTCCCAGCTTTTCTCAGTCTTTTTATCAGGACTTTGATATCACAAAAGGTTTATTTTAAGGTCTGTGTTTCTGAATGTATTTTTTCACTTATCTGAATGTTTCACACTTTTTTTTTTCCCCGTACACCATCACACTGCATCCAGACAAATTATTGATCCATCATTGTGGTGTTTGAAAGTCTCTTCCAGAGATGAAAAAGTAGTTTCAGCTCTGTTTTACTGGTGTTTCTTAGATTACAAAAGAGAAAGTACCAGTATATGGCAGGGGCAAAACTCAATGTATGTCGTTAAAAGAGGCAGCGACTTTCCTGTCACGCTCATTTTTATGTCAGATTTTGGCAAAAAACTTAAGACTTTTTAAAGTCAAAAAGATTTAATCCATTTTACATTTACTTTGCCTGCAAGGTAAACTGTATAATTCTAAAACAACAAATTGAGATTCTCAATTTAATTGTTTACTATTTTATAATATTGATTATAAATCCTACACTGAAGTCAAGGCCTTAATGTTGCTTGGCATTTTACAGACTTGTTGAGTTTAATGAAGGCACAGCTAGTAGCAGAAGTGAGTAAGCTAGGAATAACTCTTGTTTTCTGGCCAAGGCTCTAGAAAAATTATAGCATAAAGCTAAACAAAGAAATAAATCCTGTATTTTGGAGCCAGTGAGTATGCTACTGCAAGGATTCCTTGTTTTTCTAAATGCAATATTCAGAAAAGATAAATTAAGTCAAGTGAAAGATGATGTAGCAAAACTTTTTCTTTTTTCTTTTTTACTGTACCCTTGTCCATTTGCTCTGCTGTCTGTTGTAGAGCCCTTTCATCCGAACTGGCATGGGGAATATGGTATATCAGCACAGTAGGCTGTGACATACTTTGTTGGTTTGTATATGAGACGTTGTGCATGATGTTAACACAGGGAGCAGATTTTGTACAGTACTGGAAGTACCGGGAGTCAAGAGGTGGTGGATCCAGCCATTCATACACAGCATGGCACTAATGTCTCAACTTCCCATATGGTAGGAAAGAGCTAGAGGAGCAAAATGGGAAAGGTCACGTTTGGAAACAAGTTGGTTTCTCAGTGGTAGCCTACTGTCATGCAGCTAATAAATACCAGTGCCATCCAGTTGGGTTAGCAGGAGGTGCATGGCTCCCCTTCCCCCACTTACCGTTGACTACCACGGTTATCACATTCCTCGTGCTTCAGAGCTGTCTGCAGAGCAGGTTCACAGTCCCTTGGCATAAATGACAGTGGTCCCGTGGTGCTGCTTAATTAAATTACAGAGAATCATTGTGAGATGTCATGGGACTGTAGGCCATAGACTATTCACTCGTGCTAATGCAGCGAAGAGTTAAAAACAGGATTGTTGTTTGTAGATGTTTATGACCTGTGGCAGTTTTCTGTGAAAATTTGTCTTGTTTGTTTTGGAGCAGCCACTGCCATTAGTTTCTTTTGTTATGTATATTAAAAAACCAGAATAGTCAGTGATTTAATGAATATAGGGTTTTTTAGATGTGTTAGGAATATTACAAAAGCAGCCAGAACCGTTCAGAAGAAGCAATTTTCTCCTTTGTTGGAATTAACCATATCTGAATTATCAAGGTGTACATCCAGTACCAAAAATCAGTTGCATCTTTGTTTTTAATCAGTGGGTATTTTCCATGGTTTCTTTGGGGTGAGAATCCAGCACAACTTTTGTTTCATTAAAGGAAACAACTATCACGTCTTTTAACATAAATATCAAGTTAATTGTTTGTGTATGCTAAGATGACAATTAACAATCACTGTTTGCATTAATGTGATTTAAGAAAGTAATGCTTTTTAGTAAAAAGGCATCACTTAACTACCATTGTTTAGATTTAAAAGCTAGTGAGCCTTGTTAAGTTCATTGTGAAAGACATGGAAAGGCATAAGGAGGAGGAGTTGATGTTTCTTCCAAAATATTAAAGGGTGTGTACAATCCATCAGTAGTTCTTTTGGCAAAGTGTACTGCAAGAGCTGTGTAACAGCTGGAGTAGCAGCGTTCCCTGTAAGCAGGCCGTCTTTCCTCTGCTGCTGGGGATGACTTTCTCTAGATTTGGTGTCTTCCCAGATAGGGTGTTTTGAGTTTGAAGTGAATAGAGAATTTTTCTGTTTGTCAGATGAGTAAGGAAAAGAAGGGTGAATCCACCCAAACCACCACAGATGAGTAAGGAAAATAAATCCTACTCTACTAATGGAAGTTTCTACAGTGTGTTTGTGCCTTTTAAATATGCACTGCTTTACCTTTTGTGTAGAAAAAGTTTATAAGAAAATCTTGGATAAACACTGCCACACTTTCAACTGGCATATCATGCTGCATATAGCCAACAAAGATTTAAAAAAAAAAAATAATTACAGTGTTATGAAGTGATGCAATTAAATAATTGTCCAGCCCATTTTGAGAAGGAAGAGCATAACCCTGTGTCCAACCACAAAAACTGTAAGAGTGAAACATTCCAAGGTACTTAAAAAACAAATGAAAAAGTTGACAAAATTTATGTACTAGCTGTGAAA